GAAGTGACCTATGTAATATGTTACTTGTTTAAATCCAATTACTGTGAATAGTTAAGTCATTTTAACATAAACATTGTCTATGTCTTACAAATTTTCTTTTTATTTTGAATATTTGGGTTAATTATGAAATTTTTTTATATTATTCAGTATTTGATTAAATGTTAAATATTTCGTTTTGATAAACAGGTCATTAAATGGATTAACACGTTTACCTGTTTAATAAACAGGTCGGGTTAATGTTGAGGATTCTTGACACGATTATTAAATGAGTTGGGTTTAGATTTACCTATTTAATATAATACCCTTATATCAACACGACACGACATAAACATGACTCATGAATACGAATTGTCACCTTTACTTTTTCTCATAGAAGGTGGGAGAGTTCACACGTCTCCAATCTCCATGGGAGTAGATGTATGTGTGACTTAGATTTGTCATGACCAAAAACAAAATGTCATGTTAAATGTATAAAAAAAAGTCATTTTAAATGTATATATCATCACAAAATAACATTTTAATGTATCATTTTAAAAGTCATTTTAATATATCATTTTAAAAGTCATTTTAGATTTTGTAGGAATTTTGTATTGCCTCAACTATTTGCAAAACAAAAACAAATTAATAAAAAAGAAAAAGTAAAAGAAAAGAGGGTGGGGGAGCAAAAATTAGAGAAATCACAATAATACCCCCTAATTACCGACAAATGGTGATTGCATATTGTATACATGCACGGACTTATTCAAGGCTATGTGGGCGCAATTGCCCTCATTGAAATTTTTATTTTTGGCTTACTTTTTATTTATATTTATGTTACATACCTATAAAATTTTATTACAGCTCCCCACTGAAATTATAAAAAAATTTCCAATTGTATACATTTTCATGATATACAAACGGAAGGTTGGAAGTCAACGCAAGAGTACACACAATTATAACCAAAAAAAATTGAATTAGAAAAATGTATATAATTTGGATATACTCCACTTGTAGCTCCTAATACCATAAATTTTCCCCGGATAAAGCCAAACCAAAGTCAATGTATGAACAATTTGGATATACTCCACTTATACCTCTTAATAGTTAATTCCATAAAGAACTTTCCCCAGATAAATTTAGACTCTTAAATGTATTTGATATATTTATAATCATGATCATTTATTAATATATATATATATATATACACACATTTTTGGTAACTAAAAATACTATATCATTCATGTGTTTGATGAAAATTTACAATACCGGGTACTTTACCTCTTAAGTTTTCAATTGTTGAATGTGGTGGTGAGACTCACTTGATGGATAATTTTATGACTGAGAGAGACTCTGAGATATGTGATAATGTATTGTACACTTTCTCATGTTTTTGTACCCAATGAAAGTCAAATCTAGAACATCCCACTTCATGTTTAACCCTATTCATATATTATAGAATTAATTTCTTGGGAAATTATTTAAAATGTCTTATATATTTACATTAAATTTTTAGAATCTGAACCCAAGGCTAATTCAAAATTAACCAGACTTTGGCTTCAATTTTAAGAATCTTATGATGACCAAATTGTCAGTTTGTGTGATTTCATTTAGATCAATGGTCAGTGTGAGCTTAATTGAATTATTTATATACATATACACACTTGATTATATCATCATAATATAGAATATTTTAATACACTTGTGATATGGTACCCGATAGGACCATTAAAATAGATATATTTTTACTTACGCCACAAGATATAAATAATTAGTCAAACTGATCTCCTAAGCAAAGCTAACAGAATTGAAGCAGGCTTTTGACAAGTATGTTACATCTGTAATTCCAAGCAAGACATAATTCCCACGTCCGCATGAAGTTGTTGTCTCACACAAGATGCATAATAATGCATAGAGTAGATAACAATTATATGTAAACTTTGCCAACACCACCACATACATAATCCTTATCCAATTTACATGTGCGTGTTAGCGCGTATACATAGAGTAATGATCTCTTATTTTTTATGGAATAAAAAAATTTATCCTTACTTTTTATAATAGCCATTAAATTTAATTTAACGGTCACATTCAAAACCTACCTTTATAATTTCCTTTTAATACAAAACCATTATTCTTATTTTGAGTTGTAAATTTAATATTTAGCAATGTCACTAATTATAACAATAAAAGATAGGGTAAAATGCATTAAACCCCCTTGAACTATTGGTCATTTGCAAGAAACTCTCCTGAACTACAAAAAACCCCCTGAACTATGATTTTGTTGCAATTTATCCCTTTAAACTATTGGTCATTTGCAAGAAACCCCCCTGAACTACAATTTACCCCCCTAAACTATGATTTTGTTGCAATTTACCCCCATGACATTAGCTTCCGGCACAAAAAATTTTGAAAGACCAATTTATCCTTATAACACACTACGTCGTTTCAACTTATACACTTCTTACATTTTTTTTTCTGTCAAAAGATATTTTTCACCCAACACAACCCAAAACAGAGAGCTAGAGAGAGAGAGAGAAGAGACCAAAGAAATCCGAGGTCGGCGGGATGGCTCGGTCTCGGATGATGGCTGCTTATGCGCGGAGGACTCGGCTATGATGAGAGCTCGGTTGATTCGGCCGTGAACTGTGGAGGCGGCAGTGAGCTCAAGGGTGCTCGACGGTGAACTGTGGACGGCTGTGTGCTCGAAACACGGACGGCGGTGTGCTCGACTATGGAGATGGCGGAATGGGCGGGGCGAGCTTGGAATGGACGGTGGAATGGACCGGTGAGCAAGGTAAGCTGAACGGCGGGCAAGATGGTGACGGCAATGGTTGACGCAACGGTGCAGAGAAGTGCGATATATATGGCCGACAGATCTGGCGGGTGGTGCAACGACTATGATGGAGCTATGACAAGAGACACAACGATCCCAGCAACAAATTCCTCGACTTCATCGTCCCTTTCAGTCAATCAATTCGCGCGAATGGGGTAAATTGCAAAAAAAAAAAAAAAAAAAAAAAAAAAAAAAAAAAAAAAAAATAGTTCAGGGGGGTTTCTTGCACATTCCCCAATAGTTTAGGGGGATTTTTTGTAACATTTATAGTTCAGGGGGGTTTCTTGCATATACTCCAATAGTTTAGGGGGTTTTTTTACAACTTTTATAGTTCAGGGGGGTTTCTTGCATATACCCCAATAGTTTAGGGGGTTTTTTTGTAACTTTTATAGTTCAGGGTGGTTTCTTGCACATACCCCAATAATTCAGGGGGGTTTAATGCACTTTACCCTAAAAGATAAATACCAAAAAAAAAAAAAACTTATTCATCTCTGAAAAATACGGTTTCTCTCAAACCAAGAACTAAAAAATAATTGATGAATATTACATTATTGTCTCTGATCTAGCCGAATTTTAGAACAAACATTATTCTTCCTACTTTATTATTATTATTATTATTTTCTAATTTAGTTATACGTGTGACAAAAGTTCTTGTTTACAGGTTTTGAAAAGTTACGTTAATTGAAAAGTTGCCTTAATTGCACAAGATTGGAAAAAAAAACCGTAGATTATTAATTGATATAAAAACTTAATAGAAATTCATCATGGACCAGCAATTTGTACTTTTGAAATGTATTCTCCCTCCATTCTAAGATGCATCAGTGCAATCAATCAAAATAATGCTCAAAAGAAATACAATCAGAAACATTACCCAAAAAAATTTTCTTCTTCACATTTGGAACGTCTCACGAGTGATTGGAATTTTTGTATTAGAAAATCAAGTGTTAAAAAATTAAATCCATGACTTGAATTGAATTCATGACTTGATACTAACCACATTGCAAACTGTTGTCTACCCGTTATACAATTGGTTTATCATGTAATGCAAAACAAAGGTTGCTTATATGATTTATACAATTGGTTTGTCATGTAATGCTAAACAAAGGTTGCTTATATGATTTTGTAATTTTTTTTTTTTGGACATTATTTTGACTGATTGCACTAATGCATCTCATTTTCTGATCTGTCTAACTTGAAGAAAGAATGGAGAGTGAATACCTTTCACAAGGAAGAATTCAAGAAGAACTGTTGGTCCATGATGAATTTCTATTAAGTTCTTACATCAATTTATAATCTATGATTTTTTTTTTTCCCCTGTGAATTATTATTATTTTTTTTTCACTTTTGTGTGAATTATGATAATCTCATGTTCTTAATTTACTGCAACATAACTTTCCAAAACCTGTAAAGAAGAACTTTTATCACACATATAACTAAATTAGAACAAAAAAATGAAGTACTAAGAATAATGTAGACAATAATGTACTAATCATTAATTATTTTGTAGTTCTTGCTTTCAAGAGCCGTGAAGACCTTTTTTTTTTTTTTCTTTGGTAATTACCATTTATTATTATAATTAGTAATATTAATAAATATTAAATTTGAAAACTATAAATAGAAATAGTAATTTTGTGTTAAAAGAAAATTATATATATGAGTTTAGGGTGTGATCATTAAGTTAAATTGAATGATTATTATAAAAAGTGCGAATGAATCTTTTTACTTTACATAAATTATTACTATATATTTATATATATATATTAAACAGACCGGGTATAAATATTTTGCACTCTCTGACACCATTTGGTTGTGAAAGCAAAAGTTGCTCAATTATTGGAATAAAGATGCTCAGGTAGATTAGTGAGATCCACATCGGATTGAGAAATCGATTTAAGAATTATATTGACATCGGTAGATTAGTCAGTGACCGACTCTTCATTCCATATATTGACATAGATGAGGTTGGATGGTCATAATTATCCCGGAAAACACAAAAGGTAAGATCAAAACACACAACCTGTGAAGTGTAGCCATCAAAATGATTTAAACAGTAGCTTTTTTTTGGAGGAACAAGTGTTTGGCTCATTCACTTCCATGTGGCAGCTCTCATCTTATAAAATCTCTGGCAAAGGTACGTCCACCACCACACACTTCCAATTCCCTTATCCTCCCCTCAGTTTCCTGCACCATTGAAACATGAGAAAATGGAGCGGAAAAGAAAATGACTTATTTGCACCCACCCACACACCCACCCCTCCCACACACACACACAAACACAAAATTAAAATAGCAATGTATGTCACATGCTATACCAAAAAGGCTCTTACTCAACAAGAGTTAGAAATGGCTTATTTGCAACAAAAGTACCTCAATATATCCAAAGGAATCTGTGGAGAATTTTCTTGTGGGTATAGAGGCACTAAACATGATAGAGTTGGGTTGAATGATTGGAGACTAAGTTGGAAAAATGCAGGTCAAATTGGGAGGTTTAGTGAGAATACAAGGATTTTGGAGAGAGAGAGAGGTTCTTATTTGCAGAGATTTAGCTCTTCTTCTCCGACTTCATCGGCCGAGGAAGTTGAGTGGCAGTATGGGTATTTGGCGACCGAGTACGGATGGAAGGTAAGGAGGATGGTTGAGAAGGAAGATGAGATGAGGAAGGTGGCTCAAGTTCAGGCTGAAGCATTTCATGTACCAGTGTTTTTCTTCAATGATTTGTTCTTCCAATACTTTCAGGTTTTCTTCCCATTCCCTCTACTTATTATTTCTGCTCTTAGCTATTTATTTGTTTGGAGATGACACTACTGCCCTTGTGGGTACAGGCTTTTATATCCTGCTTCTATCAGCCCTACCAACACAACTTATGCAAAAAAATTATCAATAATGGTCATTAACCAATTATGGTGCCGCAAGGTAAACATTGCTCCGATGTGATTTGGAAGTCACAGGTTCGAAACCAGAAATAGTCTCTATTGTGCATCCAACCCTCGATCACCAAACTCAAACAATGGTGGGTTAACCAATTACGGTGCCGTCTAAGCAGGGTTTTAGTAGAAAAGTACTGGAGACAGACCTAGCAATATTATACAGAGAGTGAAATCAACATTCTCATGCTTGTCAGCTTAAGCTCCCACTATAACACCAAGCAATGCTTCCATAAATAGTTCATCAAGAAATCAAGAAAATTCTGAATGTGAATTCCTATTGTTATTACTACTGTTACCATTATAATCACCACAATCACCAATGGGCAATGACCAATTTTTTACTTTCCAAAAGGAGGTCAAATGTTCAAGTCTCAAAAAGAGACCAATGTGTGTGAGTACCAACTAAGAAAATATATATATATAATCACCACAATCATTGCAAGTCCTAAATCCTAACTATAGATGACATTCTTGCACTATACAGGCTGAAGTGCTTTCGGGGCTTCTTTACAGACTTAGAAACTCAGCACCAGACAGGTAAACATCAATTATGGAAAATGAAGCATCACTGTGACTTGATCAACCACAATGTAATGACCATATCTTAGTGCCTGTTTGTAGCACCAACCAAAATCTAATAAAGCATGTCTCTTCAAAGAACATTCTATTTCTGTGTTTCTCTAAAATACAGCATGACACGTATAACCTGAATTTAGCACTGCAAGTTGTGAAGTTTCAATTTCAGGCCAACAATCATTCAAGTCTCACTCTTAATATCTGCAAATAGGTATGCCTGTTTAGTGGCCGAGACTGTTGATGCTACTAAGTCAGAGTCACGAAAGGAACTTGTGGGTGTTGTAGATGTTACGGTCTTCAGGGACGAAGCTGTTCTTCAGCATCTCCCAGGGGCAGAAGAATATCTTTACATTTCCGGAATAGCAGTACTAAACAAATTCAGGTTAAACACCCTAACAGGCTTTCTCTTCACTGCTTATGTTCCTGTTGTTCATATTTTCTGATCAACATTTTCTTCTGGCTTTCATACTGATTACTGCTTAGTTAACAGGAGGCAGAAAGTAGCGACAGCATTGCTAAAAGGCTGTGACATGCTATCTGCATACTGGGGTTTTAAATATCTAGTCCTGCGGGCTTATGAAGATGATTGGGGTGCTCGCCAATTGTACACGAATGCAGGCTACAGAATCGTCGCAGGAGATTCACCATGGATGACTACATGGATTGGGAGAAAACGTCGTGTTCTTCTGATCAAACGGTCTAACCTGTGTCAGTAACCTTCGCTCAAAAGGACATTCTCATAAATCCAAGTGCGTAAATCCACATTTATCTCTGATAGCTATTTAGTTGCCTCGACTAATAAACTTGTGTAAATCACTGCAGCTGCAGCCACATCAACTCAAAACATTCCACGGTATATCACTTGAGTTTCTCTGTTGCTGGTTTTGTATCTATAGGGGATTTGTTTGTACTGAGGGGCTTAACTTTGCACAATGGCAAAGAATAAACCTAAAAGGAAAAGAGGAAATTCCTACTACAAATCAGCTAAAGATCACAAACAAAATTTGCCATTTTAATTCTAATGATTGCAAAGCATGACAATCAAAATGTAAAGTGATTTTTGTTGTTTTTATATAACTTCACCTTTGTTACTTGATTACTTTTCACAACATTGTAGCGCAGTGTAATTGATCTATACAAATTGTTTTGTAGGAAGTACACTGATGAACTCCAAATAATAATGGAAAGTGTTTTCCATTATTATTTTGCAAGATGTGTTGAGGAATGTCTAAGGTGGGCTTGAATCAAAAGAAAGCGTAAGGGGAGATAACAAACGCAAGAAGATCCGGATAGGGATTGATTCTCTCTGGCTCGACTTGATAAGGAATCAAGATTTAAAATGTTTTGTAAGAGTGTTTTCTTTTATAATTTTGTTCATAACAACATTGTAAAGCAGAGGTTTTCAATTTTATTGTAGATCGTGAGTAGTGTTCTCGGAAATATTCCTCTGCATCACTTTATAAGAAAAACAAATCTCACTGGAAACATCTATGACATTAATGTCAATTTGGTGCGCAATAAGATTAAGTACAACAAACGGATCACCCTGAATATAGGCAGATGTGCTGATTATGGTCTCTCAAACAGCAGCAGTTCTCCTAAAGATTTTCACCACCCAAAATTGAAACTTACCTGTTAATGGGTGCCATTAAAATGAAAGGTGCAGGGCTTTAAAAGAACTAAAGATTAGAAATGACAGTACTCAATGGGTAAATCATCACCTCATCGAATTCAACAATCAAAGTTTCTGCACCAGGAGAGCTTCTGAGTAAGTATGTCAAAACATTGAAAGGTATGGTCATGTTGATGCCTTTACCACCTGCTTTCAGCTTCAGATGCTTCAAATCAGAAAATGTGGTGGGTTGGTGCTGAAGTAAACGAGTGATGGAGAGAATCTAAGCAAATTAATATACAACCAGTTAGTAAAAAATGAATTGCTACTTCAGAAAAGTACTGGTCTTGATAACTTATTTATTTATTTTTTATTATTTTTCTGATCCTGGCAAGTGACTCCCACATCCACTTTGCCCCTTGCGGAGACTTCAACCTTCAACCTTCCACTTTGGAAGGTGAGGAGACATTGCAGGTTAATACTTCTGTTAGGACCGAACATATTATACATCACCCCCTTTACAATTACACCTAGAACCACAAGAGAAAAGAAAAACAAATTAGGAGATTAACTTGTTCTGCATCTTTTTTATGCAAAGTGAAGGCATATTAAGCAAGCAACCCTTTTTTTGCTAGTAGCAACTCCATAACATTATTAGCTTGCAAATTACAATGCTCTTTCTGTTTGCAATATAACATGATTCCCGCATATTTCTCAAAATCTATGTGCCAAAAAACGGGAGGAAAAAAAACAGAGAAGCATTTCATTGTGTTTTGAAACAAAAAAACATGTCCATCTGGTGGATTGGAAGCAGAATTTTTATTCTCTTTCATTTTGTTAGCAGCTTAGAAATCAAGTAACAAGAATTGAAGCTAAAGACAAATATGACCTTGGGAAGATCCAACGTGGAGTTTTTTGCACCAGAGCTCTGAAGTAAATAGGTCAGAATACTGATGGGAATGGTCATCTCCTTACATTTATGCTATGTCAGGATCCTTATATACCTCAAATTACAAAACATATAGGGTTCCCTTTCCCGTAAATTAGGAATGGAAGAGAGAATCTGCGCACATGAAAGATACAAAGGGTAAGTAAGCATAATACTAAATCTAGCATAGAACTTCAGTACTTTTCAACAATGTATATAATTCATCCCTGAGTATTAACCACTCTAGATAGTAAAGATAATGAACAAATTGGGGGAATAAGGTCGCTCTTCAACTTTATAGTGGCAAACTGGATGTGAATGAATAGAAAATAGCCATTTGGTAAGTGATGGAATGTGTTATGTGTGTTTACTGGATTCCACATGTACATGCATGCATGTAGTTCAGGTAAGGCCCCACGCCACTAATAAAGTTGGATGTACACTGAACATGCATTTGTTTTTTTGGTTTAAATTGCTTAATTAGTCAAATCCGGTTATTAAGTTGTTGCTAGTATTTTGTAGCAATGAGTGCAATCAAGTTGCTATTTTGTAGAAGTAAGAATCTTATTGTTACCAAAGATATCTCTTATTTTTGTGGTCTTACCATTGTAAAGAACCCTACAAATAGTTGTGTATACCATAAGGAAAGTTGAGAAGTTTGTTCTTGTTTGAAATTTTGTTCCCTCATATTAAACCAATTTTATCTCTCAACATTTCCAACTCTCTCAAACACAGAATTCTCCAATTATTTAATTTATAACACCTTTCTCTCTCAAAGACAGCCATGACAGAGCACATAGATAAAATGGCGGAACCAAGGACAGGGTACACATGTCACACCCCAACTTTCACATCGGGTTCACTCACCCAAATAATACTTGGCATGGCTAATCACAAAATTCCAACCATCCAAACAACTAAGAAAGACTGATTTAAGTAACTAGGTTAAATCAATCTTACATATAACCCAACATCAAGGTCATCAATAGGAGCAATAGGAAAACAAATGTCAATGATTACATTATTCCTCTCAAACCATGTCTCGCTTGGAAAGTAAAATTGTAATGATTCACTCTACAACATAGTATGATATTGTCTGCTTTGGCATGATATGGGTCCGAACCCGCACGGTTTTGTTCTTGAATTTTACCCCAAAAGGTCTCATACCAATTGGATTGACACACCTATATATATAGCACTTCCCCTTCTACACCCGGGATTGTGCACCTGTAGCTCGCCAAGTTGTCAGTGCCTCTTACATCCGCCCACAAGGTCGCCACAATCACCCTTCGGGAGCAATGTCCTCGTTGGCCACACTTCCGGCTGGTCAGGCTTTAATACCATTTGTAATGACTCACTCCACCACATGATATGATGTTATCCGCTTTGGGCCCGAGCTCGCAGGGTTTTGTTCTTGAGTTTTACCTTAAAGGCCTCATACCAATTGGAGTGACTCACCTATATATAATACTTCCCCTTTCCACAACTAGGCAATGTGGGATTGTGCACCTGTAACTCGCCCAGTGCGGTAGTCTGTCAGTGCCTCTTGCACCCGCCCACAAGTTTGCCACAAAAACCATCTAAAGCAAAATAACTAAGATTATCATCTAGGGAAATATCAAATTTGCTCCATACATGCCTTACCTGAAATGTTAAATAAAAGGTGAGCTCACACCTTAACAAATAACTCTTACTATACCTTAATATCAACTGTGCAATATATCATTAAAATATATTATCTTAATATGCATGTAATATCAAGCCAATTCTCACACCCTAGTTCCATTAATTAGAAAGAAGCTCTCTAAGATTAATATACAAGGTATTCTCAATCATTCGGTTAGGGAATGAATCAAACCCATGTAAGGAACAAATCCAACCATTCATTCATTCTTTTTTCCAGCTAAACATAAATTTTTATTTTCATTTTTAGGTTGATAAAAATTAATATTAATCTTAATTCTTAAATTACAACATCACACACACACACACACACACACACACACACATATATCATATAATATTTATTATTCGCTATGTTCATATCCTAATTTTTTAGGATTTCTCGTATCACCATGTCTGTGTCATGTCATAATCGTATCCCGTATCCATTTTCGTGCTGCTTAGACTGTCATCATTTCCTACTCTAATCCCATAAATTCCACTTCCTTTTGTCTTTGACCATCGGAATACTTCTCGTAGAACCCCCCTTAAAGGCTTGCGAGGTCATATCGGCCCTCTCCACTGCACGAGTAACCGAGTTCCATTAATGATAAACATCCCTAGTAAAAAACGAAGGTCGTTAGCCTTTGAATCTGGATTTCTATGCAAGCCATCACTCCAAATGCCTTCTCTAGATCTAGGATCCATTGGTCAGCCTTCATAGGGTTTTCTAGCCCTCTAAATAGTATCGCGCCAAGTTTTCTAGCATCCCTAATCAAGCTTGAAATGGACCCAGGTCCTACCCCATGTGCAGGTGACGTAAGCGAAAGTGATAAACGTTCACAAAGGAACGAGGGTTACCTCGAATCCACAAGGAAGAAAAAAGAATTCATAGAGAAATCTGAAAATATAATAATAATTGAATGATTGATCTGCTCAGTAGTACATGTATTTATAAATAAAAAATCCTAACAACATAAAGGAAACCCTAAAAAAGTAAGGAAACTTGCAGCGCAAGGAAACTGCTCAAAAACAAACTTGCTTTGAAAATTCTATAAAAATAAGAAAAGAAACCTAATTACTAAAAACTGCTAAATACCAACAAGGAAAGAAAAATTGAATCTGTTTAGTCTTCTAGCGAAAATCTCGAAATATTCAAAATTGGGAAAATGCAATTCCTGAGTCCTAAACGATTGAATTCGGCCAAAAGGCGTCCTAACTCGGCAACAAAGCTGCTGATATTTACGAGTTGGGCCGTTTCTAATAAAATGGGGCTCTTTTCAGGTCAAATACGAATTCGTTGAAATCATTTGATAAAAACTGATTAGCCTGCCCGTTTGACCTTTTAACGGTCTAAACGGATTCCAAAATTTTTAGCTATCTATTCTGCGTCAGTCTTCTCCACTTGAAAAGAACTCACCCTCGAGTTCAACTCTGGATAAAGAGACTCGTCAGGAGGATGATACTCAAATAAGTCTGCCACATTGAAGGTATTAGAGATGGACATACGATCTGGAAGCTCGACCACATATGCATTATCATTAATCTTCCTTTTGATGCGACATGGCCCATATTTTCTGTCTATGAGCTTGCTATAAGTTCCAGCCAGAAATCCACCCTTGCGCAAATAAACCATCACAAGATCACCCTCTTCGAACAGCTTGACTCGCCTATACTTGTTTGCAGCAGCCTTGTACTTGGCATTGGACTGTTCTAAATTTTGCTCGACCTCAGCTTAAATTTTCTAGACCCTTTCAGCCATGTTTTCTACTACAATGCTCACTCCTGGAAGTTTGGGCAATGAGACTAAATCTAGGGCATGCTTCGGTGCTTTAGTATAAACAATTTCAAACGACGTCTTTTAAGTGGATTGCGGATGACTAGTGCTGCTGTATTTTAGGAAGGTATCAAATTTCTTCCACAAAGTCCTCCAAAAATGACTAAAGAACTTGACATCACGATATGGAGTAAGAGACTTCGGGACTCCATGTAAACACACAATTTCCCGAAAGAACATATTAGCCATGTGGGTGGCATCCGAGGTTTTCTGACACGGAATAAAGTGTGCCATCTTTGAAAACCTGTCAACAACCACAAAAACAGAATCCATACCTCTTTGAGTTCGAGGAAGCCCCAATACAAAATCCATGGTTAAATCCTCCTAAATGTTTTCTGGCATGGGGAGTGGAGTATATAGCCCAGTATTCTGCATCTAGCCGTTGGCTGTTTGGCACACTGGACACCTCTACATAAACTTGCCAGCATCGCATTTCAACTGTGGCCAATAGTAATGCTCTTCTGCTG